CTTGTGGGGATGAGCACTGGGTGTTATATGGAAACCACTTGACAGTAAACTATTTGTAAAATAACAAAAAAAAAACTTTTGTCATTATTTACAACCCAGTTGACTTAGGTTAACACAAGGGAATCAACTTGAAAATTACATGTGCTGGAATTTTATACTTTTCAAAGTGCTTTCACTTGACCATTAAAATACTCTGTGAAGGAGAAAGGGCAGGTATCTTCTATCACTTTTATTCCCCAAAGGTCCACTGATTGCTTGCCATGTGCCTGCTACTGTGCTAATGCTTAGGGTAGAGCTATGAACAAGGACAGTCCACATCACTGGGTACTCCCAGGTGATCCCCCCATCCAAGTACTGACCAAGTTTCTAAAATGAAACTTTTAAGGCTGTTTTGCCAAAGACCCCATTTCGAGGCAAGGACAGTTGAGGCCCAGGGAGGTTGAACGAATTGGTGAAGCCAAACAGTAAGCCAGGAGCAGAAGGGGAAATGAATCAAATGAGATTTATTGTGTGTCAACTATGTGCTGTGCCCCCACCTTTAACCATCCACAGATGTCATCTGATTTGATGCCCAATCACCCTTGGAACAGCGAATCTCTATTTTCTAGGTAAATGGAGGGTCCGAGATAATCTAAACATGCCCAAGGTTCACAGATAATGAAGGGTAGAATCTGAATTTGTTCCCCAAACAAATCTTAACCCAAAGCCCCAAACTCTTCCTCTTACGCCAGCATTTTCCAGTTTCCCATCATTTACAAACTGCTCTCACAAGTTTTACCATATGCACATAAAACTATGTATTCTTTAAATTGATTTTTTTCTATTTAACATCCTCCTATTTAACATGCTCATCATGGGCAATACTACCCATTAAGTTGCAATTTGATATGGATCAAAATTAAAAGCTGTGATCTGTCTACTATTGAGATAATCTCGGATACTAACACAAAACTCACCCAGAGAAACACTGAACCTTGCTGGTCTGCATCTCACAGAGACAGAATCTAAACCTGTCATTTCTTCTAGAGTTCCTGAGAATTTGTCCAATTTTTGTATTTCCGTTGGGTTGCAGTCATGATAGGGACTTAGGAAGGATGAATATTCCTCACATGGACTCCCAAACATTAATTTAACCACTGCTTACCTTGTGTGGTTCTAGGTTTAAGAAGAAAATAATAAAATGTCCAAAAAGTTCCAGTGATGAGGAAATAGAGTAGAGACCCTCTATAATGCTTCCTGTATAGGTTTGTCATTAGGATGGTTTCAAGAATAATTAGACTTGTCTATGATTTAATTCTCAAAACTAGAGGGCTTCTTGGTTGAAAAATTATTGGAACAGTACAAGCTAGCCCGTAGAAAGAGAATTTCATGGAGCAGCAGACATTTAGCGGTGTTCCATTCCTAACCTTCTGGTGACTATGCAAACTTGGGAAAGCCCCTCTCCCTTCCAAGTCAGATTATTTTCTACAATAGAAGTTCCATACGAACAGGGGTCATATTTGTTTTACACACCTCTGTGTCCTGTCACCTAGAACTGTGGTTGGCACAGATTAGGTTCAATAAATATTGGCTGAATGATTGGATTAGTCAACCCATTTATCTATAAATGAACTAAAAGACCTCTAAGATCTAATCCAATAAGCAGAAGTAAATCATGCTCTCTAGCCCCAGAAACCATAGGTGTAGAAGGTAGTATCTGAGTAGATACCCTCATAACCACAAATTATCTGGGGATAGTTCAATGAATCTAGCAGATACACACTGAAGCAAATAACAAGCCTCCAACTAGATCACAGGAGCAGGGGCCCAGCATGGATGACACCATAGGCTGGTGAATCTATAAGAGCCTGAATGATAGTGTCCAAAGGGGCTATTAGCTTCCAGTGGACTGATCCAAACCTCAAGCCTTGATTTATAGTTATTAATGTCTTGGATGAGAACAAAGAGAACTATTTATCAAATTCCTACATCACAGGAAACAGTAAGAGGTAGCAAATGTACACGTGGCAAAATCAGAATCTTTTGGTAGGACAAAATGACATAGGGAATTTTTAAATGTAAAATAGAAAAGAGACAGATATTTTCCCTCTTAGTTCAAAAGACCAACGGCATGATTAAGAAATGGAGAACAAGTGATTTGCAATACTGTGTATTTAAAAGACTGTAATTTTGGTTGATTGCGCATGGACTAGAACTCAACACTGACGTGGATGCCAAAAAGTCTAATGCAATCTCATATTGCATTAACAGAAATACAGTTGCTCAGAACAGGAGAGGCAAAAATCCCCTTCTACTCTATGCTGGAATACTGTTGTAGTTTCTGATAAACTTCAAGGAGGACATATACACACTGAAACACAACCAGAGGAGAGGTAGAAATCAGGGAGGAAAAAACAATCTGAATGAAGGACATTAAGCCTAGAAAAAAATCAAAGACTTCAGGAAGAAAGGGAAAAACACCCACAAGAGCTGCCTTTAAATATTTCAAGGGAAACTGAATTAGCTTCATTGTCTGGAAGGTATAGCAGGATAGTGAATATTTTCCACTAATTAGAGCTATCAATACCCAAAATGAGCTGCCATGTGAGAAGTGGGTTCCATGTCAGGAAGTGGGTGTAGAGTAGAGAAGGCTGATGAGGGCAAGACTCAAGACCAAGAGTCCATCCAACCCAGCCAATGGCAGGATAAGAACGCTAAGCCCATCATACTGTGAGTAGGGCTGTGGGTGCAGATAAACACAGGGCTCTCGGTCAGGATCTACATGGACATACCCCAGCCTCGGATCTTCTCTGATTTTTAGAGTGCTATTCAAATTTGGCAAAAAGTTACTGATTTCACTTAGGACAAAGCACCATCCCTGTGCATCTCCCTCCACTCTAAGGCCCGGGTCAGGGATGCAAGAGAGGCAAAGAAAGATGGGAACAATTTAAGTAGTTGCGGCACAGAAAAGGGAATGGACCGGGTGAATGGAGAGATGGGTAATAAGCACTGGCATATTACAACCAAAATCTCAGGAGAGCCTCTCTCTTCAGAGCTTTGCACAGAAAGTTTTTTGGACAAAGGTTTGTCTTCTCTTCTCCACACTAACTTACATCTCCAGTTGCTCAGAGAAGAAAAAATGGTTCTGTACCTAACGAAACCCCCATTAAGATCTGAAACTCTGCTTAACAACTCAGCCCCATCAGTTAGTCTGTTTCTCCAGCCATGAAGTTGTGAGGCAGAAGAGGAACGCCAGGGACTCAGAAATGCCTCACTGACACCTATGATTAATATGGGGTCCCATTTATTACACATCTACTATTGTGCCAGACACTGTATTAGGTTGGACATTTTACATTGCAAACTACCTATTATTTTGTAGGTGAAGAAATTAAGGGTCAAAGAGATTTTAACTTGTTTGGCCAAGATGTCACCACTTCAAAATAATCCTAGTTCATATTCACAAAGTGCTTTCCATGTGCCAGGTGCTATTTTGAAGCAATTACATGTGTTACCTCATTTATTCCTCATAACAATCCTACGAGATAAGTTCTCCTATTGTACCCACTTTACAGAGGCGGAGAGTGGCCTAAAAGGGCATAAATGACTTATTTACAAAGTCACGAAGCTGCAAAGTAATATATCCTCACACTCTTTCCCACGGGCCACATGGTCTCTCTGTAGTAGGAGAAATAACCCTAGCTCTCCTCTGGTCCACCAGGCAAGGGACCAAGGAACCCTCCACTAGATCAGAAAGGACTGAGACTTTGACTGGTGGCTGTGACCTCTGGGTCTTATGCTGGGACAGACACATGTGGGCAGGGTTAGGGATCTACAGGGCAAGGGAATGGCCAGGCCACGCAGCCGGGAGTAGTCTGGCCAGGAGGCCCTCACAGTCGACCCAGGGCACTCAGCACAGCCATGCCTCTCTCTGAGGTGAAGCGACACCTGCTCCATGCCACCCACACATGAGTCCGTGCATCATCAATTCCCACACTGCTCACTGCCTCTTCTCTTGCCCAGGGAAAGCACGGTCCTGTCTTCCCAAGAAAACACTCCAAGTGTGCTTGAAATTCTAGCACTGTATAACCATTTCTTCTTTTGCCAAGTGGGTCACAAACCAGGAGGCTTTTCAGCAGAGACTGACCCTCCCCAGTCCTCTCAAAACACCGAACTCAGTACAAAGTACTTTCCCGGATGGAGCAGCGGCAGCTGGTGGCCGATGATGGGGAGTAATAACGTATGACTAACATTGTTTAGAACCACAGGGACAGGGTGATGATAGAAAGCAGACCAACTCTCGGTCGGCTTCATTATTACTTTGCAACTGTCTACAGACAGTGCACTCAGGAGACCACTCCCCCTTCCCATCCCCCCACTCCCCCTTGGCAGGCCACTGACTGGGCAGGCTGCTCTGTGACTCTGACTCCTGCAACCGATGCCTCAGGCAGCAAACTGCCTGCTCCTCAGACATTTCCTCAAGGGCAGGCGAGAAACTACCCAGCCACTTACCAGATCCGAGAGATAAAGACTTCACTCTTTAAAGATCAGACTTCAAAAGGCTATCAGACTAAATCGAATGACTAGGGGGAAGATGAGCTGCATTTCCCTTTTAGAAATAAATGCTTAACTTTCACCGATCCATACCAAGCTGCAACTCTAACCGCTCTTACATGCATATAACTATCCCCGTCTATAAATGAGCCCATTCACAGCAACCATATGCGCAACCTCCAAAAAATGAAGTTGGCAGCAACCTGCACCCCCCAATTGTCCTACTGCTGGGCCTGTGCCATTCCTCTCTAGGGATTTTTCCTCTGTCCCCCGGAGGAGGCCAGCAAAGTCACAGCCTGCCTAGTTTCTTCTCAAACACCTCCTGCAGAGAGGTCTTATGGCCTAGTCACGGAGGAGGAAAGCTCCCCAGGAAAGAGCTCAAAGTGCCAGGCCACTCGGGCTGCCATCTGACCCCGTGCAGGTCAATTTCCAATTATGAACCAACATGCAGAAGGCTTTCTGCTTACTTGAGTTGGAATTCTCAATCTGCCGTAATGTCCTCAGAACATGGTGCATGTCCTTCATGCTGGTGTCTTTCTGACTGTATAAAAGAAGCCGCTGAGCATCAGAGAACAGGCGAGACACACTGTAGGGGGTGCAAGAAAAGAAGAAAAGCCCCGGTTAGACCAGGTGCCGCTCTGGCTTGAGGAGAGCACCTGCCAGGAAAACATGCCCCTGCCTGACTGCCAGGTCTCCTGTGGGCCGGCCCCGGCCACTCCTGCTGCTTCCCACCCCATCCACGAATACCCCGTGCTCCCACTGCCCAGCACAATCCCTGCCCCACACGCTCTTCCGTGTGTCCACACAACCAAATCTTACACCCTGCAAGGCCCAGCCCATGTGCCTCCTCACCAGGAAGCCCTCCCTTACTTACACACACACACACACACACACACACACACACACACACACACACACATCCAGGGCCAACTTATCCATGAGACATAGTAGGCACAGTGCCTATGGCCCAGAATGTTCTTAGGGGTCCACAAAATTTTTACATTTCTTTTAAAGTCAGAGTAAAAATAATGAAATTTAGAAATTCAAATGAATATATAGGATAATGAATCCAACCTAGATTATATTCATTTTTATATCAACACAGTTATAAAAGGGGGTCCATGAAACCTACAAAGCCTGAGGTCCATGAACAGTCATGTGGCCCTGCCTGCCCCAACTGCTGCTTCCTCAGAACTGTCCTAATACATCTCATACAGTCCTTTGTCCTCTCTAACTCAGGCCGTGGTTCTGTGCATTCCAAGAATCTTCAATCTTCCTCATTAGGCAAATACTTATTAAGTCCATGCTATGTCTAGTATTGAAGCCAGGAGCCAGGGATACAGGAGCCAAGGAAGCAACATCCTGGCTGTCAGGGAGCTCATACCCGGGGAAGAGAAAGACCTGCAGACATAAGGATGCTGCAGGGCAGGGCAGTGACAGAGTAAGAGTGGATCTGGAAGCAGAGGACCCAATTCTCTGAGCCTTGGCCATGTGCTTCTTGAGGGCAGGCTCCCGCCTGTGCTCATCTCTGTACCACCTTCCCCAACTCTAAGACCAGCCATTTTAGATGCACAGGAAACACTGCTAAATGAGTAGGCAAATTAAAGGACAGAGAGCAACATGCTCTGTCTCCCCCTTCTCTACTTATTGACCTGTTTTTAGAAGAATGGCCCCCAACCACATGACTCTTACTCCTAAAATGTACTGAAGTAAGGTCCCCACAGTCTTAAGTCCTGGCAGCAATCCTCCCAGCCCTCGTTCCTCAAACCTTTACAAAAGCAACTTCAGTCGAATTCAACCATTCAAAATTCTCTGGAGGTTGAGAAAGGAAGGGAAAGTATTAACTGACAAGTTTGGAAAGAAAACCCGATATAGTACTTACATGGATTTGTTAAAGTTTCCAACAACCCCAGGAGCCTCACCAGGAGTCGGATAACGGAAACAGGGGTTATTGGCATTACAGATAATCCCCTGAACCCAAGGAAGCGTTCCTGCAGATGGCATGGCTTTGTTTGGAAAGTGGCCTATGAAATCAAGAAGAAGAAAACCACAAAGAGAAACATTAATTCTTTGAAGTGATTCTGGGACTTGATAGGAACCTTAATCTCTTTTGGTTCCACCCATACACTGCTTCATCCCAAATCTGTCTTTCCCATTACCCACATCCCAGAAACTGGCCACCTCTGGACCAATCCTACTCTGGGTCAGAAACTTGGTATCAGATAGTGGTTCTTAATCTACTTAACATCACCTGGGGAATGGGATTTGAGACCCCAGCCCTTGAGAAATGATGACAAGGGTAGAGTAGACCATATACAGAATGTGTCTGGTGTGTAGCAAGCACTTGGCCATCATTATTTCACCTTCTACCTCCTGTTTTACCTTTCAGAGATGCAGAGGGGCCCTGGGAATGACCTTATCCAATTCTTTCATGCACTAAGGAAGCCACAGCAAGATGAAGTGTCAGGTGAAGAATGCTCAGGAGACAGTGGGCGGGACTGGCAGTGGAACCCACATGTCTGTGATCCCGATCCATGTTCTTCCCCTTATTCCTGAGGTACTGTCCTCTGTTGGCCAAACATGTTAATTTCTCCTCCTTTGCCAGCTCACAAGCTCCCCAAAGGCACCTAGTAACCATGCTGACTTGGAGTCAGACGTCATCTGTGAAGCTACATTTGTTGTCATTGCTGTTCTGTTGCTTATCAGAACAATGAGCCCCATCCCATAGGTCACCCCCTCACCCTCCTTTCCCTTCCTTATGGAGGCACTTCTTACAACAGCATGACTGGGGAGACTTGGGCTGGTCCCAGGTGTAAAAGGTTTGAGGTAGTCAGCCACAAGTGCCACTTACGAGCACAAGATAAATGCACCCTGGAACCAGGGGCTTTTAACCTGAGGACCAAGCATGTGTGGTCTGGACAGAAAGGCCGTGGCTCCAGCTTTCATCATATTCTCAGGGTTATCTGTGATCCTAAAAGAGTTACTAGCCATTAAAAAGAATGGCTCAAGGCACCTGAATAGCTCAGTCAGCTAACTGTCCAACTCTTGACTTCGGCTCAGGTTATGGTTTCAGGGTCATGGGATCAAGCCCTGTATCAGGCTGTGCTGACAGCATGGAGTGTGCTTGGGATTCTCTCTCCCCCTCTTTGCCCGTCCCCTACATGCACACACATCTCTCTCTCCCCCAAAGTAAATAAATAAACATAAAAAACAAAAACAAAAAACAATGGCTCTCAGTGATGACAAGCTGTGTAGCTTTACAGGTTCTGAGGTTAGACCAACTGGGTTTCACATCTGGTCCCTGAAACCTGCTAAGTAGTAACTTTGGCCAAGTTACCGAACTCCTACCTCAGTTTCCTGATGTGTAAAATGGTGATAAAGATACAATCTACTTCACAGAGCTGCGGGGAGTATTGCATGCATTCTTACAGGCAAAGCAGGCATCAGGGTGTCTGGCACAGGGTAAAGGCTCAATGAGTGAGCCTGTCAGGTTACTGAGGCACTGTGGTTATGAACCTATGAAAGTACTCACTCAGCTACTGTCTGGCCAGGAACAGTCCCTCCACCTCACAGTTACCACCATCCTCCAAAGCAGGAATCCTGTTTTACTCATCTTACTCTTTTCATGCAAATGTACTAACGAAGGCTCCCCCGAAGGTAAACTATACCAGGAGTTTGCTACCCTTTGCAATTTCAATATTGGGATTCTTCTTCCTTTTTCTTCGATCTGTAGTCCAACCAGAGAGGCAACATCCAAAGCAAGGATGTGACAAGATCTGATCACTGTGGCCACCCTCTGCAGGGACTCTGGCCTGTTGAACATTTACTCAGTTAACCTCCTTATCTCCCTGTTAATAGTTCAAGGAAAACCAAACAAGGGCCCTTGCCTAAGTCAGCTGCTCCTCATGCAGGTGAAATTTATGTAACCCAACCAAACACTCGAAGAATCAAGGGATTCTCCTCTAACCTCCTGGAGATACTGGCACCAAAGACAGGGTGGTGTTGGTCCAGGAAACACAGGGCAATGGAAGGTGAAGTTATTTCAGGCTGATCCTTAGGGAGTAAAGCAAAAACCCTTTCCTATAGGTTGTATCCCACGATTTGAAAAAAAAAAAAAAAGCAAGATGGGGACTTGGCATTGGGTATACAGGTGGACAATCAAATAGCATAATGGACTTCCAGGGCCCAGGGAAGTGATGAGGACCATGACCAAACCAGGGAAGATTTATGAGGAAGAGTTAAACACCAATCCTTTGTTCCTAGAGACAGGACACTTCTGCAAGCTTCATCTTAGCTCTCTGCTCTTCTGGCTAGGTTCCCAGAAGGTGATGAGAACAGTAGGTAAAGTTATAAGAAGTGCACAGTGGGGGACAAAAGGCTCACCTGCTTTCTGTAAGTATAGGAACCTCATGTTTCTGAGAATCTATAGTCTAGATCCAGGGGGCTCTGGGTTAAGATTTAACAACTTGTCCAAGATCACAATCTCAGCAAGTAGTGTAGCAAGGATCCAAACAAACCCCAATTTGTCTGATGCCAAGGTCTGCGCTGTTTCTACCATACCATCTTGCCTGTTTGTGATCATTCCTGAGAGAGTATATAGACTAGCAGATGGAAAAGCAGAGTTTTCCCCAAAACGTGTACTTCAGTGAAGCTTAGGGTAATGCTTAAATAAAATCAAATATGCATATTGTTCAGGGCACCGAAAGAAAAACCAGAATATCCATGTGTAGCAACATAGATGGAATTTGAGGGTGTTATGCTGAGCGAAATAAGTCAGGCAGAGAAGGGCAGATTCCATATGTTTGCACCAATAGGAGGATTAGGAGGAACTTAGCTGAGGACCATGGGGGAGAAGAAGGGGAAAAATAGTGGGGGAGAGGGAGGGAGGCAAACCATGAGAGACTCTTGAATACTGAGAACAAACTAAGGGCCGATGGGGGTGGGGGGAAGGGGAAGGGGGGTGATGGGCAAAGAGGAAGACACTTGTAGGGATGAGCACTGGGTGTTATATGGAAACCAAGTTGACAATAAACTATTAAAAAAAGAAAAAAAGAAAAAGAAAAACCAGAATTACCTTCCCGGCCCACAAATTGAGTGTATATTTCATTTTATGCTCTTTTCCTTTTTTGAAGATCAGAAAAATGACATCTCGTAGACTGTCCTTGAGGTTTTGTGGGTTTCATGTTTTGTTTTGCTTTATTTTTAACTTGAATAGGTATAATATGCACTAGCAAACTGGCAGGTAAATAACTGTCATTATGTGCTATGAGAGAGATGGGACCAGACCAAGAACACAATTAAAAGGTGACCCTATCCCCATCTCTTCCCTGAGGAACAGTACCCTGCAAGCCTGCAGAGCTGGCAGGGTATGAGTGAAGCTGGTTAATGGTAGGAAAAGTCATGGAAGCAATGGAACAGAGATGCCAGTTAAACCTCCCACATAAACGTTGACCCTTTAGACAGGGACATTTCTGCAGAGTCAGTCCACCCAGCGTGCCTAGCCAGGAGACAAAGACAGTGATTGCAGAATAACACAACCACCACAGGGGGGTAGGTGCTGTTCTATCTCCTTTGATAGAGATAAGAACACTTAGGTACAGAGAGGCTAAGTCATTTGCCCAAGGTGATATGCCTAGTAAGTGTTGAAACCAGAATTCAAACCCAGGTAACCTGACATCTATCTAGAGCTTGTGTTCTTAGCCCTTACTGTATTTTCTATGCTCATTTTTTTAATGTTTTTATTTTTTGTTTTTTGTTTTTTTATTTCTAGGAGAGAGAAAGAGACAGCGTGAGCAGGGGAGGGTCAGAGAGAGAAGGAGTGACAGACTCTGAAACAGGCTCCAGGCTCTGAGCTGGCAGTCAGCACAGAGCCCGACGCGGGGCTCAAACCCACGAACCGCGAAATCATGACCTAAGCGAAAGTCGGACGCTTAGCCGACTAAGCCACCCAGGCGCCCCCTATGCTCATTTTTTTAACGGCCACCATCCAAACACATGATTGGGAGTCTGATGATTTGAACGTAATTCCATCTGTTACTTATGAGATATGTGACCTTGGGCAAGTCCCTGCACTTCTTGGAGCCTCAGTTTACTTCTCAAGAAATTAAAGCAACAGATAACACTGAGAGTCTATCATACAAGGTTGTTATGACAATCAAATGAAAGACTATTAGTCAATCTGAACAGTTCTATATAAATACTGCTTAAAATTATATGTTCCATGATTTGCGAATTGTGCAATAAAGACATAATGCATGTGAAAAAAACTGGCAGGTTCTAGATGACAGTTGAGACATTGCCCCAGGAGGCTTTTTTAATCCCCACTTTCTGACTTATGGATAAGGTTATTCTACTTTCATGATCTAAAATGGATGAAACAGATGTTGGCTATTATTATAATTACTATTATCCCCATTTGCTAAGACTGAATATGGTTTCCTGAGTTCACGCCTTATCAAAAAATTGGAAGCTTTTCTGTTCCAAACTACGTGTGGTGTTTCCTAAAGATAGCGTCTTGGGACAGGCCAGATGTAGCCAGTGTTCACTACCTGGATTTCGCGTGCCTGGAGTCCCGGGCAGGATGCTCAGATACTTACACTCATGTTGTTCATAGGGTGGGTAGCTCAGTCGAACGGAGATCAGGATCAGGAAGATAAACAGAGGCCAGGCCACTTCCAGCAACAGCTGACACTGAGGGGGGAAATAAGACAGAGTGCTGTGACTTTAAAAAATAACATGCATGCCTAACCCTCTTGGGCTTTGGGAAATCCACAGCAAAATTAAACAACTGATCAAATCTCCAGCTTCTCCTACCACTCTCCAGGATTTAACAACACTGAATTGTCTACAGTTCTCATGTTGTGACCTATTATTCCATACCTCTGTTTTCTCCTTAAGAAAAGGAAAATGCTTCCTATCCTGCTTCATCTGGTTCAGTACTTACTATTCCTTCTTCAAGACAGACTTACTCAGGGATCATTTCCTTTACTAAAATCTCATACTGAGCTTAGAAGCCCTTCTCCTATAATAGAAGCCAGTGGATATTCCTCCCAGAGCCTTTTCCTCCAGCCCCTGAGATCATCTATCACTGGCTTCCTCACTACAATATGAGCACCCCCTCAAGGCAAACACTGAGTCAGCTTTGCATTCCCAGCCCTGAGACAGTGTCAGGTAGTGAAGGACCATTTGTTGAAAGGAGAAAGCTGGGCAGCCTGCTGTGCTAAACATACCACCTCTGCTCTTTTGTATGCACACAAAGTTGCCCGCCATGGGGCTGAGAAAAGGTCTCCAAAGCACAATGGAAAGGTCTCCAAAGCACAATGGAAAATCACACAGGATTCCATATTGACCTTGTGTGCCTCCAGGACTGGAAAGCTGGGGAAAATGCAAAGTTCTTCTTCCCCATCCATGAAGGTCTGGGCACCATCTTCTGCAGTGGGTTAGATCAGCAGCTTACAAGTAAGCATGATACACTGGTGAAAACAATATGGTGTCTCTAAAGGCAAACTCTGCCTCAGGGCATTACCAGGGGAGAGATAAGTCTAGGGACAGGACGGAAATCATTAGACACACTTCAACTGAACCAAGGGTACTCAGACAACTAGTTACACTGCCTAAAGACTCTCACCTCTTTCATTCCCTTCATTTCTAGACTCTGATGTTCTAATTAGGATGAACACCAAAGGTCCCAGAAGAGTCACGGGGCCTTGTGGTTAAGATTAATTACAAATGTAGCTGCAAACCCATAAAGCCAAGAGAACATTGGCCTGAAATCCTCCCTTCTTTTTTTAAACAGATTTTTTTCCTTGATATTTAAGTCCATATATTTTCATTGAGAAAAATTTAAAATTAAAAAAATCCATGGGGTGCCTGGGTGGCTCAGTCAGTTGAGCATCCGACTCTTGATTTTGGCTCAGGTCATGATCCCTGGGTCATGAGATGAACCCTAGCATCAGGTTCCAGCTGGGCATGGAGCCTGCTTGGGATGCTCTCTCTCTCTCCCTCACCCTTCACCCCTACTCCACTCACGTTCTATCTTTCTCTCTCTCAAAAAAAAAGAAAAAAAAAACCCAGAGACGTAGAAAAAAGTAAATACAAATCACCCTTAATCCTACTTCCCAAAAATAATCCCTAGTAAACTGAGCTAACAATGGCTTTCTGTTAAGATTTTTTGCCTCTTCTATGCCTACGTGAATATCTTACTCTACAAAACTGACATTATACAGCATATACAATTTTGTATTTGGCTTTTTTATTTATCATAATGGGAGTTTTCCATGACACAAAATATTCTCTTAAAATATGGATTTTAATGGCCACTTTGATATTCCATACCGTGAAAAGATCATAATTAACAAAAACTCTCTGCTCCTGCTGGTGCTTCAGACTGTTTGGGGGTTTGTTTGTCATGTGTTGTTGGATTTTGGTATTTTAAATAATCCATTTTTGGGGCGCCTGGGTGGCTTAGTCGGTTAAACATCTGACTTTCGCTTAGGTCATGATCTCGCGGTTCGTGGGTTCGAGCCCCGCATTGGGCTCTGTGCTGACCGCCAGCTCAGAGCCTGAAGCCTATTTCAGTCTGTGTCTCCCTCTCTCTCTGACCCTCCCCTGCTCACACTGTCTCTCTCTCTCTCTCCTAGAAATAAATAAAAATATTTTAAAAAACCACCCATTTTTAATTTCCAGAAACCTTTGATATGGTTACCAATTAAACTCTTTAATCTTCTTTTTGGAAGGAAATACAAAGATGATAACAGTAGCTATCTTGGGGTAGTAAGAACATGGGTGACTTTTCACAATACTCTCCTGTCCTGGAGCATCTGGGTGGCTCAGCTGGTTGAGTGTCCAACTCTTGATGTCAGCTAGGGTCATGAGCTCATGGTTTGGGTCATGATCTCAAGGTTTGTGGGGTCAAGTCCTATATCGGGCTCTGCCCTGACAGGGATTCTTCCTCTCCCTCTTTCTGCCCCTCCCTTGCTTGTGCACACTAGCATACTCCCCGCCCCCAAAATAAAAAACTTTAAAAACATAAAATTTTTTTAAATTTTAAAATGAAAACCTTTCCTGTGTTTCCTAAATTTTCCATAATGTATATGTATTACTTCTCAAATGGAACAAAAATCCACTGTTACCATATATCTGTAAAGAATACTTTACACTATTTGACAGCACACTAAGGGGGGAAAAAGACAAATGAGTCCCTCTTTGGAAGAAAGCACGTGTCAGTGGGGTTTCCAAGGCTGAAGATATGGTTAGTCTTCCTACTATTTCTCTAAATAATCCCAAAGAGGCAAAACACAGTGAAATCTCCAAGATTTCAAAAATGGCATTCAGTCTCTTCTAGCATCAGAGATGAAAGCCCCTCCTCGGAGTTCCCCAGGCACTCAGTGCCTCCATCAGCACATGGCACGGCAGGGGCCCTATTTAAAAAGGAGTAGCACTGCTAGGAATGTACCCAAGGGATACAGGGGTGCTGATGCACAGGGGCACATGGACCCCAATGTTCATAGCAGCACTCTCCACAATAGCCAAAACATGGAAAGAGCCTAAGTGTCCATCAACAGATGAATGGATCAAGAAGATGTGGTTTATCTATACCATGGAATGCTACATGGCAATGAGAAAGAATGAAATCTGGCCATGTGTAGCAACATGGATGGACCTTGAGGGTGTTATGCTGAGCGAAATAAGTCAGGCAGAGAAGGACATACCATATGTTTTCACATATAGGTGGATTAGGAGGAACTTAATGGAGGACCATGGGGGAGGAGAAAGGGGAAAATAATTTGGGAGAGGGAGGGAGGCAAACCATGAGAGACTCTTGAGTGCTGAGAACAAACTGAAGGCTGATGGGGGTGGGGGACAGGGGAGGGTGGGTGATGGGCATGGAGGAGGGCACCTGCGGGGATGAGCACTGGGTGTTATATGGAAACCAACTTGACAATAAACTTTAAAAAAAAATTAAAAAATAAAAAGGAGTTTCTCTCCCACTGTCATTTTCTTCTCAGTAAGCTTGCCACATGGAAGACCTACAAAATGTTCACTGAGTGAGAGAATGAAGTTTATAAAATAATACAGATGGAAACACAAATCAGTATGCAGCGTCTGGAAAAGCAATATGAGTATCCCCTCTGACCAAGTAATATTCCTACGAATTCACCCTACAGAACTAAATTTAAAATACCAAAAAGCTCTATACATGAAGTTATTCATCCACTGAAACACTGCAATTGCAAAATACTGGAAATAACTTAGCTGCACAGCAATGAGAAATGATACATTTAATAGACAATATATGTGCAGTCATCACAACTATGAAACACAGACACTATTAACCATAATATTAAGTGAAAGAAGCAGAGCACAAAATTTTATGCTACAAGCTTACAGCTAAATAAAATCATTTACAAATATCAACAGGAATAAAATTTTTTAAAAATGGCATAACTGTGAATGAACTCAGGAAAGAATAATGAACTCAGAAAAAAACAAAAACAGAATTAAGAGTATGAGTAAGATAAATAGTAGTCATCAACCTTGGTACTCTGAAGCTACCATCTGTATATTTAGGATAAATAGTAACTACCATTTATTTATTTAGAGTCCAATATGTAGTAGGTCCATTACATATGGATTATCCCATTTATTTCTCCAAACAACCTTGTGATGTAGGAACCACTAATGTCCCCATTTTATATGGGACAAGGGGTAAGTGGGGGAGAAGGAGGTGTCAGTCACAGAGATAGAGGCAGAGTTAAGATTAACTGCTAGTTCTGCCCAACTCCAGAAGCCACATGACATTAACACAGCAGGTGGCCCCGGTGGGAAATGACCCCATTCAGTGGCAGTCACAAAATATCTACAGTGGGCTATAGATTTACAACAGTCATAGCCAATAGTGAGCCCTTCTATATACCAGGGATTTTTATACATTTCATCTCTAATATTTAATTCTCATAATGACTCTGTGAGACAGGTTGAATCATGGAACTAAGGTTTGAAGAAGTTATCACCCATCGCGTGGCAAGAGAGTACACCCGCACTTGACCCCAGTTCTACTGACCCCCATGTGCTTTTGTACCCACTTTACAGTTGAGGACACTAAGGTTCAGAGTTAATAAATAAACATCCAAATGTTGGCAATAGGATACAAACTTATCAAATAAAAGCTGCATTGGTTAATTACTGTAAAATTACCAGCAACGTCAACGGAATCCTGCCATGGTAGATTTGGGGCCAAAAGATCTTCCTCTTCCTAACTTGCTACACAGATTTTAATGCATTCCTCTCAGAATTGCTTTGAAATTTAAGAAGACAATGGATATAAAAGTATTTCAAAACTACAAACTGCAGTCTACACATCAAGAATTATTACTACAAATATGAAAGTTATTTGGAAATAGGAAAATATAGACACCAAATTATGTCACATGAAAGAAGAAAACAGAACGACAGAACATAAAATGATTCTATCATATACAGGTAATGATTACAATGGTCTCCTTGGGCTACTGCCTCTCAAGTCCCCTCAGGGCCAAGGACCACACAATCTGATTCTCATAATCATGACCCATCTGCTTCAGGGACTTCCGCACATAAAATAAAGTTCAACTGCCCTTCCCCAGCTTCAAGACCAGGCACGACCTGTCCCTGCCAATCCCCAGCTCATCCTCAACCGGTCTTAATTTGTACCACCAGTGCTACTGGCTTTTCTGTTCCTTGACTTGGGAACATGCATGAGGCCCCATAGCATTCACACCCCGTGTCTCTCTACCTGGAATATGATGCTGCCCCTAATCTCTGAGCTCCTGATCTTCCCCAACTTGAACTTCAGGGCTCTGGGCTTAAATGTCATAACTTTCCATTCTGCATGAAGTCCCTATCCATAGCCTGGTAGTATCTCACATAGTGCCACACTTTGTCTGATTTATTCTCTTCCTAACACCTATCACAATTTGTTCCTATATTTTTACTTCTGTGATGGTTTTCACTGAACTGTAAGCTCCATGAAGGCCAAGATCATGTCTGTCTGCTCCACCACCATACACCTGGCCCACCATCCCATACGTAGTGTATGCTCAGTCAATATTTATCTCAGTGAAACAATAAATGGCTACGTGTTCTAACTTTCTTCTTCCCGTACAAGATGAAACGAAACTCAAGAGAAAGGACTTAGCCATTGAGGCATATGGTGTCCAAGCTGGAATTAGAACAGAATTAGAATTAAATAAAAATTAGAATTCTTATCTGGATTTGAACTGTCACTGACAGACAAGAAACAAGGACTAGGAAGAAATGTATCAGCTGAAACGAAGTGGAGAGGGAATATGGAAAGTTTCCATCTAACCTGGAAAATTCTCTAATGGGTCTTAAATGAGGAGTTTTAATTTCAATTTATTTAATAGTTTATTCCTTATCATTAACCAATGTCCAAATACCTATACTCTATGCAAAAATTAGAATTACCTATTTTCCCAGCCACATGACTAATGATTGGATCTAATGGAGAAAACCGCAAAAGCAAAAAAGAAAGGCTGGATGGCCACACTGTCCCATCTGTTCCATGGGACCTTGGCCTCTGGGTCAGCCTAAAACCAGATGAGAATCCTGAGAGCTCTGAAGCCCCTCACCCTTCCGGGCCCAGGCCCTGTTTGTACTGAGTGACTGCCACCCACACAAGTTAACCGTTACTTTGGACCCAAACTGAGCTTTGCACCTGACTTTCGTAACTCAGTGTATTCTTTGCCCAACAGAAACAACGAAAAGCTAACCCTGGTTGATGGTCGTCATGAGGGGACAAAATGGGGCACAAGAGAGGTCCCCAGGATTCATCAGCGAACAAGGGCAGAGAGGGAAAGGGCAAATGCTGCCCTTCCACAGGGTTATTCTGGGGTGTGCTGTTCAGCTCCCAGTTTTTACATATTCTTCCCAGCAGCAGAACACAAGGCCCCTACTGCAGGGAAGCCTCCCAGAGACCTGCAAACTAATGGCCCATTTAACACATTTACCACTCGTTCAGTGACCACTTATTAAGCATATCCCAGGTACCGGGCTCGAGCTGAGTGTGCATTCTCTAGGATCTGAGAAAATGCAAAATAAGCAATGATATCCCACACATTGTGGGCAAGAAAGATCATGGAGTTTCTTTCTCTGCCTACTGGGTAGGGCAGGTTCTGACTGTGAGCTAATGAAGAGGCACCAAAACTCCAGACAGGTCCCCGTGTCTCAACAATATCATCCAGAAATCCAAGCCAGGTGGATTGGGAAGTAGCTACCAGTCACCACTTAAGATCCCTTAGTGCAGATAAAGCAAAACCTGCTGGGGGGGGTGGGGGGTGCCTGTAGGGCCCTCAGGAAACTGGTTCTGCTGCTACTTCTGTGACTGACCCACTCGATCCCTGCCCCCAGGCCTAGAATCCCAGATTCAACACCTGTACTAGGGGCAGCCCAGATCTCTCCAGCTTTGACAACGTAAGCATCTGTAACCTAAAATAAACTACCTTTTTTTTTTTTTCTGGTTCAGCAAAATACATTACCTTTAGCTCTCAGGAAAGGAAGTAAGGACAAGCTAGCAGGCTTGTGGTGTACCATCTAGAAGAGTCTTTTTGTGTCACATGCTGTATCTTTACTTCCGCCAACAAAAACTCTGCCAGAAGGCTACAAATTGCCTTTGACTAAGCCTGCCTATCTCCCTAATCTTAACTCTTTTTCAATCCACAAGCAGTGATAAGCCAGAAGTGACAAGCTCAAGACCAGTGGAGGCTGGACCAGTCTGGATGGCCCAACTCAGGTCCTGTTCCAGGACCCCCAGCTCCTGATTCCTTGGTTGAGCTTGGGGAAATCCCTCCTCTGCTTTGCACCTCAGAGTTCTCATCTGTGAAATGAGTTTCGTCTGGACTAAACTACTTTGGAGCCCTGCTTTCATTGCTAAGATGATACAATTCTTGCCACCACGCAGAGGCTAATGAATGGACGCGCTATGGCAGAGACAGTTTCCCATCATGTGGGCTGCTGCCATCAGGATGAGAAGAGGAGGAGGTCTGAAGCACACAACAGGTAAGAAGTGAGGACAGGTGATGAACACATAGGATTTGGAAACACCAGCACCTGGGGAAAGACATGAGAAACAGGAGCAAAGGCGAGGAAAAGGTCAGAAACTTCAAGTTTTTAAGTCTGAAAACAAAAAAAATGATGCTACTGAAAAGCAATCTAATGGTTATTTAGAGTGCTAGCTCTGGAGTCAGATTATCTAGACTTGAAACCAAATGCGCTCCTGACTAGCAGTGTGGATGGACCCCAGACAGATTACTTAACACTCGCTCTCTACCTCAAGTACCCCAGCTACAACACAAGGAAATAACAGTACTTCACGGGGTCCTAAAGGAATAAACTAATCAATAACCCACTTAAGTGGCTAGGATATGGAAGCTGATCCTAAGTGTTTGCTTTTATTATATAATAACACATAATATTTTACTATTACTATTACCAAGACAGACAGGACACATAGATTCTAGTTTCTACTCTCTGACTAGTGACCTAAGGATTCAGGTCTCTACTTATAACATGATGGGAAAAAAAATAAATAAAATAAAAAATAATAAAATAAAAAGCAGTGTTCTCTGACTAGAATATATATATTCATGAGGGACTAAATGAGTTCTCTTTGAGGATTTTAAACATGTTGTGTTTTCACTTCAATGGTCATCTACACAAATTCAAATAAACATATCTGAATCTTCTGAATGCCATCTTTATAACTACTTCTGGCACAAGATTTCAAAGCCTAAGTTTATATTTGTGTTTGTGATTGTGTTGGCACAGATATAATTGTAGCAGACTAATGAAAAAGGAACAGATGCGGACGCAATTTATAAATGAGGAGATTGGACCAAACGAATGCCAAGTGACATCAAATGAAGGTCACTGGAAAAGCGGTTGAAGAATTGAATCATTCGCACAGCAATGTAGACTGTCCAAACTCCAAAGAATCAGCACTAAGCATTCGCAACCATATTCACCTTACTACTTATAATTTGGTTTCAGCTGAACAACGGCAGCTGTCTTATTACGTTAACAATGTTAATTTGAATTGTATTGGTTTTGCAATTTTGTTTGCATTTAATTTTTAAGTATGTATGGGTCATATGGTTGTATAGCCTCTAAGTACAGAGGTTTATATCTAGTTTCACATATGTACACACTTAAGTAACATCACAATAAAGAAGAAATTTCGCAAACACAAGGGGAACCTTGATATTTTTGGGTTTTTTTTTAAATAATGCCCAAGCATTACTCTGGTTTGAGAATCACTAATTCTACTCTCTCAAAGGTCTCTTACAGCTCTTTGAGTCTAAGAAAGATGATCATTTTGCTTATAGGCATGTTAAGCTTAGTTAAGATAGCCCAGTGGGGATTCAGGATCCGAACTCAGAAGAAAAGGCAGGGCAGGAAACAGATTTAGAAGCCAACTACAGAGAGGTGTAGCTAAGCCCAGAAGACCAAATGAGGTGTCCAGGAGTGTTCATCAGAGATAGACAAGCCAAGAGCTGATGTCTGAGCTTCAGGGAGTTCACCATGCCTCATAGCTTTCACCATCCTCTGTGTACAAATCCCATTCACCTGAGCATTAAAGATGATCTCAAGATTATGCAAAGAATTCATGTCCCAACCAGGAAGTGAACAGCTTAGAACTCTACAGAAATCAAACAAATCTCGGTTTTTTATTCCTCCAGGTTTTCAGTCAGAGCTGAGAGAGTCTACACTGACACTAAGAGATTCAGCGTCTAAGAGCTGGGCTGTTAACTCACTTTATTCCCACCTCCCAGAAATACAGGGGCTCTTCAGGTGCTCAGAGCCAGGTGGCCCCCAGGGCTGCAGCAAAGGGAAAGAGTGGGATGGTCAAGGGCAATTCTGTGCCAGATTCCAGGGGTCAGAACTCACGCCTGGGCACTAACGCAAACTAAAGCTGACATTTCTGCCTGGCCGCAACTCTTCCCTTTCTGATAAGCAGTAGAGCTCTATCGGGACCACTTGGACTTGTGCCCACTAGGGCCAGATTCATTCTATACCTTTGAGAAACCAAGAGGATTCCCTCTCCTCCCTTCTCCAATCTCCAACTCACAACCATGAAGAAAAGCAGAGGAGAACCCCTCAGAGGAACCCAATCTTACCGTTTGTCTTCTTCTGAAAGTGAGGTTCTTCCACAGCAGCAATCTCAACTGTGGCCAGTAAGCCATGTTTCCTCAGCTGGCAGCCACAGCAAACTGTGCGTGGCTCAGGAGCTCCTGGAGGCAGCCGCAGCAGCTCACAGCAGGGATGCTGTGGCTGGTCATTAACTGAAAGAAAAAGCAGGAGAGAACGCTATCAGTTATTGCTGCAAAGCCATACACCAGTGAGGGCTGTTGCACCAACTCCCTCACCTGGGACCTCAAAATCCAGATCGGTGTCCTAATTACACTCAGGAAGTCCTGAGTCCCCAACATGTGGCTTCAGGGTTTCTCCTGTAAACAGAGATTCTCAGGTTTTCTGGCAACAGTCTGGAAGCTGGTCATTATAATCCTAATCATTTTAGCTCCATTAGTGTGACCATTTGGAAATGAAAAATGAACTTACAAAGAGACTTAAGTGAGCAATCATGGCTGGTCAAAACCCTGAGGTTGGACATGGCACACTGGAATCCCAGACACCTGCCTCACTTCTCTAAGAAAAATGCTTCCCTTCACATAAAATGGTAGTAGCATTTATAAATTTTGCCTCGAACCTGCAGTAATTTATGCTATTTCTTGAAATTCACTACAGACTACATTTTCATCTGGCCACAAAGCTGCGCCCTTCAAATGATAAACAGCACCATCAATAAAGCAGTTTTCCAATCTGGAAAGCCATGGCATATTTTAGATGACTGTGAGTAAGCACCAAGGAAATGCCACTGACACCTGGTTCCCAGGTGACAAGGACAATCCGAGTGCTGTGTGTCTGTAAAAAGAAAGCAATATCCCACGGAGAAACAAGTCGGCTAAGGCAGGTGGAGAGCATCACCTGTGAAACCAACAATCTCCCACTGTCTAGACACATGTACACTCTGGCTCTACTCCACCTGCACCTGCACACAGGGCCTGGCCCCTCCTTGTCAGGTGTCACAGGTACCTCCTTGGAGGACTATTTTACCCTGCTGGGGGAAAGGATGGGTCTCAAAAGCAGCGGATACAACATTCTGTGTGTCCCAGCTGCCCACGCAACAACTGTATTTACTGAATGCTGGAATAATCCCAAATAGTCAAACTAAAATTAAAGTGGGGGAAGAGATAGAATATGAAAAGTGGAAGAATGGAGGGACACACAGATCAAAGCTAGACTCTGCTGGCACTCTGTAGTCACAAACTTTTGACACAACTCAGAAACCAGCTTTATTTCTAAAGAGCTCAGTTTATCATTGTGGTCCCTAATGCGGTAGAGGTGGGAGTGGGCCACTAGGCAAGAGGAACAAATAGCAAAAAGAACGAATGCAGTGACCACTCATGGATACAAAACCAAGTATTGGACTTTAAAAAAAAAAAAAAAATCGATGCATCCAAATGAGATCTCAATGCAAAGGCCAACCTCTAGCAGGATTTTTCCTTTTCTTGTCCACTTCATGAGGATTTGCATTTAAAACCTCCAGAGAGGAAAAGAGAGTGGAGGGAGTTTTCAGTGTCTGAAAAGAAGGAATGAGCCCACTACTATGCATTTTAATTCATTCACTGACAACCCCACAATCAGGAATTAGGACCTATTTCTTTTCTTTCTTTTTAAATTTTTTTAAATGTTTATTCATTTTTGAGATAGTGACAGAGCATTAGCAGGGGAGGGGCAGAGAAAGAGTGGGAGACACAGAATCTGAAACCGCTCCAGGCTCTGAGCTGTCAGCACAGAGCCCAACGCAGGGCTCAAACTCACAAACTGTGAGATCATGACCTGAGCCAAAGTCAGATGCTTATCCAACTGAGTCACCCAGCTGCCCCTATTTTTTTCTTTATCATTAGTTCAGCAAACCTCAGGGATACAGACCCCCAAAATTTCTCATTCCAAAAAGAAGTTACACCAGCACTGCATCAGTTTGCAATTTGTTGTTTAAAGATATCAACAGACCTCCCAGGCACTGAGAGCCAGAAGGCCACTGTGAGACATGTCTGTCATCCCAAATTGTTTTGTAAGTGGCCTAGGATAGGGCTTGCATTCCAGAAATACTGAAATAAATAATTAGCTAGAATTTTCTCATGCAAAAGCTGCTCTCTAGGAATCACTCAGTTGATTTAGAAGCTGCATGAATCTTTTCAGATCCCCAAGGTAACAATGAGAAGGTTGGAACACAAGTTATTTATTTATTTACTTACTTATTTGTTTGTTTATTTATTTATTTTTATATTATTCATTTTTTAATATGGAATGCTTCATGTATTTTCATGTTATCCTTGTGCAGAGCCCATGCGAATCTCTGTTTCATTTCAATTTTAGTATATATGCTGCCGAAGCAAGCACACAAGTTTGTCATTTAAAAAGACAACTAACATAGCAGAAGAGAGCCCTGATAGAAATTAGCCCCAGTACCCCAACTATGTGCCCTTGGCCAAGCCTTTATACTCCCTGAGCATCAATTTCCTCATCAAAAAATGCAAATAACAATACCTACTTTGCATGATATTTGAAGGATTAAATGAGATAATATAAATGAATTCCTTACACAGTACACGGCATGTTCTAAGTGCCAAAGAAAGGAGTTCCCTTCTCCCCACTTATCTTTCTCTGTTCTATCAGTACCTCCTAACAGAGAAATGGTTTTATCCTGTCCAAACATTCATTTCTATTCCAGTATTTCTAGCACATCCATTGTGGGTTTCTGGAAAGGTACTAGGGGGCAAATAGAAAGGACGAAATCTATATAGCCTCATGTCGGAGACCCCCATGGACAAACCACAGCACAGAGTCCCCTAAACTTCAGTGGAAAATCTCAGAGGAAGAGAAGACACACCTCAATGAAATGAGAGAGGCCAGGACAAGATTTTCTGGAGAATATTTTCCTGAAAGGAGAGTTTCTGGGTCTCCAAACATGGGTTCTAAGCCCAGTCACCCTCCAAGACACATGTAGAGAAGGTTGTTAGCAAGAAGTAGCCCAGAGCAGCAATGAAGGTTCTGCTCTGGCTTTGCTGGGTACAAGCAGGCAGGCTTCTTTCCCCAAATCCCCCACCCACCTAGGCATGGCCCTGGCCTCCTGAATAATTCCCTCCTCCCACTTCAGAACACAGTGATCATTGCTGGGGCAATTAAGTCCACAAAGAAGGGTTTGGCAATGCCCAAACCCCTCTGCTCAGGTAACTGAAGCCAAAGGGACATTTCTACATCAGTTTTTCAAGGAAGTGAACAAACAAACCAAAACCAAAAAGAATGCTGTACTATGTACTAGATTTCTCAATGTTTCAAAGCCAGTCGCACACTCGCTTCTGCCCTTATGCACATTTCCAGTTACTGGCTGGAAAGGGTCCTACTTCACAATCACCGTCAGTCAATAGGCCACTCTGTCAATTCCACTCCTGAGTGACCACAGCAGCCACTTCACTGGCTCCTTGCCTCCAGTCTTGTCCCCTTCCCATCCATTGACCAGGGAGCGGCCGCAGTTATTTGATTAATCCATATATCCAAATATGCCATTCCCCCTCTTAGAACCCTCTGCCAGCTCCCCACTGCCCTGAGAAGGAAGTCCAGTCTCTGTGGTGGTTTAACTGGTCTCCCTGATGACTCCCACCTTTCTCACACTGCTCCCCACCTCCTAAACCGTGCCGGAAGAAACTACTGATGGGCTCTGAATTTCGCCGGGACTCCTTGGCATGTTCCCTGTCCAGAAAATCCATTCTCTCAGCGCTGTCTGCCTGGCTAACTCTTCCCCAACCTCAGGTCTCCATGTAGCTGCCACTTGCCCAGGATGCTGTCCTGATTACCTCCCCTGAACTGACACCTGGGTTAGGAGACCCTGCTGGGAATTCCCAAGGTTGCTTCTTTTTTCCCTTGAAGTATTTCTCCTTCATTCTGAGTCCGCAAGAACCATTTCTGTTTTCTTCATCGATGTTTTCCCTAGTACTTGGCATGCAATAAGCAGTCAGGGAATGTTTGCTTAATCAACTGACTAAAAGATGGACAGAAATACGGTTTCAGAAGGTAAGGGTGGTGGCATTCCTGGGCCTGTGGTAACTGATTATTCAAGCTTGATTAACTGATTCTGGCAAACTGTCCCCAGAGAGGAAGCTCTATGTTCAGCAGGCTTCTAACACACGCTCCACGGCCACAAAGGACGGTTGAGCTTTCCCAGGCGACTCCTGGGGCATCCGGGAAAATGTAATTAAATCTAGGTCTACTTCCCACAAACACCAGGTTTAGTTAAGGCCTGAGCAAGCTGTCCCCAGGCTAGTGGAGCCATAGAATCTGCTTTCTGCCGATCTCCATGTTCAAGTTGTATGTGCTCTCTCCCTTTGGGTATCATCATCAGTCAGTCAGGAGGACCACCACCCTTTGCCTAAATTTAACATAGTTTCCACACCCTAACCCCCTTTTGTACAGTATAGACCTAGTAAAAGTGGTTTTTCAAATTTTTAACTACTTTCTTAAAGAAATTTTCATTGCAGCAAATCAGAGAACTCTAGATGCTGGCGAGGATGTGGAGAAACGGGCACCCTCCTACACTGTTGGTGGGAATGTAAACTGGTGCAGCCCCTCTGGAAAACAGTGTGGAGGTTCCTCAGGAAACTAACAATAGAACTCCCTTATGACCCAGCAATAGCACTGCTAGGAATTTACCCAAGGGATACAGAAATGCTGAGGCATAGGAGCACATGTACCCCAATGTTCATAGCAGCACTCTCCACAATAGCTAAAACATGGAAAGAGCCTAAGTGTCCATCAACAGATGAATGGATCAAGAAGATGTGGTTTATCTATACCATGGAATACTACATGGCAATGAGAAACAATGAAATCTGGCCATGTGTAGCAACATGGATGGACCTTGAGGGGGTTATGCTGAGCGAAATAAGTCAGGCAGAGAAGGACAAATATCATATGTGTGCACGTATAGGAGGACTAGGAGGAACTTAACAGAGGACCAACCGGGAGAAGAAGGGGGGAAATGGTGGGGGAAAGGGAGAGAGGCAAACCATGAGAGACTCTTGAATGCTGACAAAAACTGAGGACTGATGGATGTGGGGGGGAGGGGGGGATGGGCATAGAGGAGGACACTTATGGGGATGAGCACTGAGTGTTATGTGGAAACTAATTTGACAATAAACTATTTGTAAAAAAAAAAAAAAAA